CGAGCCCGAGGCCTGGGCCGAGGCGTCGCGGTTCAGCCCCGGAAATCCGCCGAAGCGCGACTCCTTCTGCAAGCTGCTGGCGATCGTGCGGCTCTGCCGGGGTCTGGGCGTGCGCACGGGGCCCGCGTCGCTGACGGACGCGCTCCACGTCTGCCCGCTCTTCTCCTGGTACCGGGGCACGTTCCTCGACGACGCGTGCGCGACGGCGTCGGACGGCGCCTCGGTCTTCGCCGGCGTCCCGCGACGATGTTCGAGAGATTTCGGGCGGGAAACCAACGAGACATCGTCACCGCCACGCTTGGTAGGTCTTCACGAAGGTGCGGCGCGACGTCGGCTGCTGCCCGGCGTCGCCCCAGGAGCTCGGCTTCGACGCGGGCTGCGCCTGGCCCGCGCACGTCCAGGCCGCGGACGCGCGGGGCTCCTTCGGCGGCGGCGTCGCGGACGCGATGCTCCGGCTCAACGAGCGCCGCGTCGCCGCCGCGCCCGAAAACGGCGCCGTCGTCACCTGCAGCCACTTCCTGCCGCGGCGCGAGCTCTACGTCGGCTGGCGGGGCCTCGGCAAGTGCATGGGCGACCCGCGCCTCGACGCGCAGCTCCGGAAGGCGCGCTGCGCGGTACACTGCTGCGGCCACGCCCACACGGACTTCGACGCGACGCACGGCGGCGTGCGCTACGTGCAACGGGCGCTGGGCTACCCGCACGAACGGTACGGCGCCTTCCGCGGGCCGCTTGCGCTCGAGTTTCCCTCCTAAGTGTACCTGTGTGTGTCTTGCCTCGAGGCGCGCGCCGGCAAGGCTCGTTCCTCGGGGCTCGCCGCCGGGCGCCCCGGGGGCGACCGCTGGGTCCTAAAACAAGCTACTACGCCTTGTCGAATCGCGCGTCGTTGCCCTGGATGCGGATGGAGAAGGAGCAGCTCGGCAGCGTGCCGTACTCGGCGGTCACCGTGGCGACGATGCCGAGGTTCGCGAGGGCGCCGCGGAGCACGCCGCAGGGGAACTGGAGGATGTTCGCGGTGACGCGTTTCATGGCCTCGGCGTCGTCGGAGCTCACGCGCGCGAGCCAGCGGAAGGTGTAGTCCTTGAGGACGAAGACGCCCCGGTGGTTCGTCTGGAGCTTGTCGATCTGCTTGCCGAAGATCTCGTTCCAGACGTCCTTGCAGATGAACTTGATCACCTCGAGGTGGTCCGCGGCGAGCGCGCGGGCCTGCGCGATGCGCTCCACGAAGCGGTAGCCGACCTCGTAGCCGTGGAGCTCGGGCCGCGAGCTCGCCGTCTCGCCGCTGGGGCCGATGATGGGGCCCTCGCCGGGGAAGTCGAGCTTCACGGCCTCGGTCAGGAGCATCTCGAAGAGGCACTCGGCCACGGCGTCGGGCATCGCGCGCGCCGGTGCGTCGTCGCGCGCCGCCGGCGGAGCGACGGCGCGCGCGGTGTTTTACGTGTAAACGCTGGGAGTTCGTCCGCGGCCGCCGCGCGCGCCTCACTGCCGCCTCGGGCACTGCTGCCGCAGACCTGTACAGGCGAGCTCGCCTCGGCGGCCGCCGCCGCTGCCGTGGGCGCCTCCGACGCCGTCGGCGCCGCCTCCCGACGTCCCGGACCACCCACCAACCCCACCTCCCCCGCGACGAACGTGGCTCTGCGATGATGTAGGGCGCGGCCGCGTCTCGGTGCGAGAAAAAAGGCGGCGGCGCGCGCCCTGCGCCGGCCCCGCGCGGCGCGGCGGGGCGGGCGGTCCGAGGGCGGATGCGGTCGAGGTTTCGGTCTTTCGTGGGCCGGGCGGTAGCTAGGAGGCCTTCTCGGCGGGCGGCGCCTCCTTGCTCGGCGTCGGCGGCTTCTGGCCGCCGCGCATGGCGTCGCCCATGGCCTTCTTGAGGTACGCCATGGAGCCGCGCCGCGCCTTGCTCGACTTGGCGCGCTCGAGGCGCTCTTGCTCGGCCGTCTGCGCGGCGGCGGCGTCGTGCATGTGCTCGAGGACGTCGAGGTCATAGATGTCGCCGTCGAGCCTGCGCGTAAACACGGGCTCCCGCGACGCGCGGCGCGGCGCTCTCTCTCGCGTGTCTCTCTCGCACGTTTCTCTCGCGCGGCGCGCGCGCGACGACGTCGCCTCCCCGCGCCGCGTCGCGCTGCGCGTTCGGGTGGAGGAACTCGACCTGGCCGAAGAAGCTGTCCATCGAGTGGCTGCCCCGGCGGCTCTTCCGCCGCTGCGGCGGGCCCGAGCCGCCGCCGCCCTCGGGCGCCGGCGCCTCAAACTTGGGCGTCTTCCGCGGCGCGTCGGGCGGCGCCTCGATGAAGGCGACGATGCACGTGATGTCGTCCGTGCGCTCCTCGCGCTTCATCCACCGCTTGTAGGCCTCGCCTGCGTGTAAATCAACCACTGGTTTGGGACTTTGCAATTCTCTAGCTCGGTCAATTCGAAGCCGATTCGGCTGATTTTTGGACGGATCGATTGCTCGAAGTCGATTCGGCTGATTTTTGGACGAATCGATTGCTCGAAGTCGATTCGGCTGATTTTTGGACGGATCGATTGCTCTCATCGAGTTCTCGAAGCACGGCCGGAGAGGCCGGTCCGAACCGTTCGATTACGCTCACATTTGAAGTCGGGTTGAAGATTTGAGTTCCACGCAGGGCCTCGCCCACGAGGGCCTTGCAGCTGTCGAGCGGGTCGCTGTAGAGCAGCGCGATGCGGACGCAGTCCGTGTTCGTGATGAACTCGAAGACGCCGTCGGAGGCGATGATGAGCACGTGGTCGTCGGCCGTGATCTCGTGCTCCCGGATCTCCGGCGTCGCGATGACGCCCAGCGTCTCCGCGAGCGAGTCGCCGATGGACCGCGTGAACGCCGTGCCCGGGTACTCGAGGTCCTGGTTCCAGACGCGCGGCGGGTCGCCGTCGTCGTCGAGCTCCTCGCCGAGCTTGCAGTCCCAGTTCTCGTGGTAGGGCACGATGCCGTCGACCTACGGTTGCTGTGATTTGCGAGGTGCGTGGCGACGGGCGCGTCACGCCATGCGTGCTCTGCGCGCACGCGCGCTGGTGCGCAAAGCTGTGCTCTCACAGGAGTGGCAAAGTCAAGCGCGCGCG